GAAAACGCACTTACAAATTGCCCGAAAAACTGCCCAATTGACGTGTTTTCCGGGGGTTTTAAACAGTTTCAAGCGAAATAAACTGCACTTTCCTTGAAAAAACCATATCGCACGCCTAAACTCTTCTAAATAGCTTGTTCGATCGCTAACCGTACGCTCAAGCGCACTAAATTTCGTAATATTTTCCGTAATTTTTTGCAGAATTTGCACCAAACTTCATATGAAGTTGCAAGTTTTTTTGAGATTTCAACCGCAAAGAGCGGAAAAACTGTAAAACTCGAGCGGTGAAAAAAACGCAAAGAAAACCGCACTTAAAAATTGCCCGAAAAACTGTCCAATTGGCATGCCTAGACGCTGTAAATCGCTTGTTGGATCGCTTACCGCATGCTCAAACGCACTAAATTTCGGAATATTTTCCACGAATGCTGCGAATTTTTTACATAACTTGCACCAAATTTCATTTGAACTCGCCAGTTTTTTTGAGAATCCGATCAAAAAGAACAAAAAATTGTAAAACTCGAGCTGTGCAAAAAACGGATGGAAAAACGCAGCTTGAAATTGCCCTAAAAACTGTCCAATCGACTTGTTTTCCGGGGGTTTTAAACAGCTTCAAGCGAAATAAACTTAACTTTCCTTGAAAAAACCAAACCGCACACCTAAACAGTGATAAATCGCTTGTTGTATCGCTTACCGCACGCTCAGACGCTCCAAATTTCGCAGTATTTTCCACAATGATTTTGCAGAACTTGCACCAAACTTCATTTGAACTCGCAAGTTTTTTTGAGAATTTGACCGCAAAGAGCGGGAAAGTTGTAAAATTCGAGCGGTGAAAGACACGGGAGAAAAAACGCAACTAGAAATTTCCCAAATGACGTGTTTTCCGACGGTTTTAAACAGTTTCAAGCAAAATAAACTCAACTTTCCTGGCACAAACCATACCGCATGCCTAAACGCTCCGAAATCGCTTGTTGGATCGCTTACCGCACGCTCAAACGCGCCAAATTTCGTAATATTTTCCACAATTTTTTGCAGAACTTGCACCAAACTGCATTTGAACTCGCAAGTTTTTTGTAAGCAATTGTAAAACTCGAGCGGTAAAAAAAACGCAAGGAAAAACGCACTTAGAAATTACCCAAAAACTGTCGAATTGACGTGATTGCCGGCGGTTTTAAACAGTTTCAATCAAAATAATCTCAACTTTCCTTTAAAAAGCCATACCGCACGGCAAAACGCTTCTAAATCGCCTGTTGGATCGCTTACCGCACGCTCAAACGCACCAAATTTCGCAATATTTTCTGCAATTTTTTGCAGAACTTGCACCAACTTTCATTTGAACTCGCGAGTTTTTTTGAGAATTCGATCGCAAAGACCAAACAATTGTAAAACTCGAGCGGTAAAAAAAACGCAAGGCAAAACGCATTTAGAAATTATCCGAAAACTGTCGAATTGACGTGATTTCCGTCGGTTTTAAACAGTTTAAAGCAAAATAATCTCAACTTTCCTTTAAAAAACCATACCGCACGGCAAAACGCTTCTAAATCGCTGGTTGGATCGCTTACCGCACGCTCAAACGGACCAAATTTGGCGCCTGGCCAACATGGCACTGTTGTCTCGCCGAAACGTAATATGAACATTTTTATTTCACATTTTGACTGAAACCCAGGATAGAAAAAATATAATAACAACTGCACGCAGTCAGGAAGAAAAACCATTTAGGTAAGAAAAACAAATCTTGTTGATTCAATTTTTAACATCTTTATGTTATCAATTTTCAATATGGCTTCCTTATTATATATAAACCCATACTGTCTTAAAGATACGCTTATTGTACTTTTTAACCTGCAGATGCTGACTTTGCGTTCATTCACGACTCCAGCGAAATCAAGTATGAAATCAGCAAAAATTGTAACCTCACTGAAGTTGGGGAAGTTTTTGCTGAAAAACCGTATGCGGTTGCTGTTCAGCAAGGCAGCCATTTGCAGGACGACTTAAGTAAAGTGTAAGGAGAAGAAGAAGTTTATGTTAGAAGTTTTATGTATTAAGAAGGCTTATCAGTATTTTCTATTTTTGCTTCTTGTTGCATTTTTATGTGTGTATTCTTTCACTGCTTCTATTTACATCTTTTGCAAAATTTTGAAATGTTCGGTGAGAGTTTTGGGTTTCAGGATATTGGATTTGCAAAAAGATCGATTTTTCGAGCAACTTCAAGCCAAATATTGGAACGATTCCGCAAAAGGAGACTGCCCAAGTACTGACGACAATGAAGGAATAACTTTGGAGAGTTTAGGTGAGTGAAAATTCTCTTGGTTTTCATGAATTCAGTTTAGTAACGCAAAAAATCATCCTGAATAATTTTGTCCTAAAAAACGAATGGAAATACTCTAAAAGACTTTTTTACTTAACCATCTTTTGTAATTTTGTCCAAAAAAAACTCGCTTTCACTCGTTTCAATCCTCAAAAGCGAATCAAGTACAAATTTTTCCAGAAACATTTTTGTTTCTAATTCTAGGTGGAGTGTTTATAGCGACACTTTTCGGTCTCGCTTTAGCCATGATCACACTAGCCGGCGAAGTGTTGTATTATCGACGCAAAAGGAAAAAAATTAAGCCCAAAAAGCGGAAGGCAAAGTCCAAGAACTTGCCACTCAATACGGCTGGATTGAAACTGTCCAAGTTGGATGGACAAAGTGTGGACATGTTCAATGTGAATAAGACTGTCACCATTGGTACCACGTTTAAGCCGGTGAATTTGAAGGAGAACCTGACTAAAGAGATGGAAACGGTGCACATTTCGCACATTTCCTTGTATCCTAAGGCCAGGAATAGGATTCCTCGAGTTGAATAGTTGAATGCGTTTTATTATAGTGGTGGTCCATTTCAACAAGATTTAGAAAACAGCACACATGCATTTGTAGTCAGCTGCACAAGGGCCAAATCTGTCTACAAATTAAAACCTCTAAACATTTCATTATTCTCTTTATTTCTCTAAATATAAACTGCCTACAGCTAAATGAGTGAATGTGACAGGGTTCTTTATTTAATTTCTTAAATACTCTTAAATTTCTTATTTTTCTGCATTCTTATCAGGGGCAAGTACATAATATATTTTATATAGGGCCTAAATCGATTTTGGCCTATCACATTTTTAAATACAATATAGTTACAATACCTTAAAAACGTGAAAGGATATTTGAATAGTGAACAGTGAGGTTGTTTTACGTCAATTTTCAACAGTTTTTACATAAGTTTTTTGCGAATGTGGGCAAGGTTTCTAGTGAGAAAATGGATTTCTGTGTGTGTTTTTTTCATTCATAATACACTATTATATCCTTTCACCTTTTTAAATGCCCGACCCTTTCGAAAACAGATCGTAGGCTCTTTGGTATATTATTACACACATTGAGGGTAAAAAATATGAAAAATAAATTAGTTCTCATGAAATATAATACTTTTAAGTCGGCACGAAATTTTAAGTCATCATCAACCAAGAAACTGTGTATTTCATAGGGTAGGATTACGCTACACGACACGGAAGATTGTGAGGATACTGGGGGTAAACTTTAAAAAACCTGCAAAACACAGAGTGCAGGCTTATTTGGTTCCTTAATCCGAAGTTGCGTTTTTGAATGGACTAAATTTATTAATTTTTTATGCTTGCTAAAATCGTTCTTTCAGTAAACGCAATTTTTTCAACATCTATTTAAGCTTTAAAACCAAGCTTTACCTTGTAGCTACTAGTGGATTTATATGAAAAAATATTAAAAAATCGTAGGCTTTTATAACGTTTACAGATTAATTCTTTTTTCAGTTTAAGTAAGGCAACATTAGCTTGAGAATTGAAGAAGAGAAATTGAGGAAAAACTCCAATCTTTCAGATCGTATAGCGTGAACAACCTTATAAAATTGGGGTATTTACAAAAAAAAAATTATCTGTTGGGCCTATATGAAGGCGAATTTTGACCACTGTGATATTGGATGTTGGAAGTTACTTTACAATAAAATGGGAATTTTGGAAACGGAAAACTCGCCTTCATACGCTTTTTGCAGTTGGCGAATGAACTCTGATGAAAATAGCGAGGAAAACATTTCTTGGTTTAGTTCGTTTTTACTGTCTTTTCTATGTTTGAAACATTTCTCCATCCCTTGAACAAAATACGTAAATAATTGCTTTTTCTCTTCTTTTCCGTTCAAGCGTTAATGCCTTAAGGGATCATACCTGAAGAATATTTTTAAATTTTTTGAATCAAAAAGCCGCTATTGGATTTTAGAAACATTCTAAAGTCCCAAAGCGGTGATCAGAAATGCAAGCTGTTGATGTTTCCCAACTTATTTTTCATCAGAGCGTTAGTCGACAATGAATAATGCGATGACATTGGAAGTTATCAAGTACGGTTCGGTGTCTGACTAGTTTACAATATTCAATAAAACTTTCGTTGATAAAATAACATATTTTGTCGTTTCTAAGGCGGAATATATAAATACAGGGTCAGTGGATGGAAAATTCCTCGAAACTGAATGAAATAAAATCAGAGAGATAATGAATGGTGCAACACATAAAATTTACAAAACAACTACAAATCTACGAAATGAAAAATCGGGTAGCCCTTAAAACGAGGCTACGCAATTTTGATATGATACTGAATGTGCGCTATCTGTACAGATTCGAATTTAATTCCTAACAATTCTTTGGTGTGAACTAAGCTAGAATAAAAATAAAATATATTAATTAAAATATCCTATAAAGAAAAAAATAAAACAATTAAGTACAATAAAGATTCTGATACATGTCGCGGGGTGTGGCCGTCTGATCGTATTAAGTTTTCAGGTGAGACCAGAATGACTATCTGTCGGTATATTGAATGTGAGAAGAAATGCATTTCTTTAAGCAAAAGTCGATCATTTTTTTAGTTGGCTGCCACTCGATTTATTTGATCATTTATTTCGAGACTCATTTGTTAACATTTTGTTTCAATAAATAGAGAAAAATGATCATATCAATCGAGAGGTAAGCGCTTTGTTAAATGATTCCGATAACACTTTTTGAAGGCACATCAAAGAATTGAACAAATGTTACATAAGTTGGTTTGAAATGAAGGTTTTTTCTTGGATATTTTCACTTCATGCGGAGCTTAAACGGAAAAACCCTTTGATGTGCTTAAGGGAAAATTGGAACTGAAACACTTCTTGGCAAGATGGAATTTCCTGCCGAGTAAATGGTATTTTTATTTTCTACAGTGTGATTGAAAGTTTACGCCAAAAGTAAGCCGATATTTGTGCCATTTTCGGGTTAAGTGTGAAAAATCAGTCTGTACTTCCGGTAAAAGTTTCGCCTTGATTCGTCAAATTTGTACAATTTTTTACACATTTCTTACACTACGAACAGATCATCACGAGATAGTCGTGGGGAACACACTCAAACTCAAATTAGAACAACCTTTTCTTGTGTTTTTTTACAAAATAATAGTATTAATTTTCTCTACGTTTTGGCCCCGTTTTTACCCCATGTTCAGTTCGTGCGGGTAAATCGCTTCGGTTTTCAGACAGGCGCTGCCACTTTCAGTGGGCGAATTGGCTGGTGCCAAAGAGTTGGCTCTTGTGGCCGCCGTTGGACTCCTGCTGGTCTGCTCATCTGGGTTAGTGATCGCGATGTCGTTGTTGGTGTAGTAGTACGAATCTGTAAAGAAAAAATCATGATTAGAGTGAGGTTTTTTAATCATCAACTGCAGGAAATTTGCTATTTCTTCCGGCTATTATTATTTTCTGCTCGTACAATACTCACTATTTACTTACTGAGTAACCCGCTGGATGCAGATCCGTATCCATATGTACCGTAAGCTGCACCATACTGGCTGTATGCTGTACTGTAGGCGTAATCCGTACCTGGAACTACTGTCGTACCTATTAATAAATAACACATTTTTTCAACGATTTTTCAATATGCTATTGCCAGAGCTTAACGTATGGCAAAACAGAGGACTTTTGCGGCTTGAAGACATCCTACTTACCACCATTTGTTCCTGGATGGTTCCAGACCAAAGAAACAATCAGATTCAAATTTACGTACCTGAGTACCCGGTGAAACTCGGCAACATTGTGCTGTAGTGTTGGCCACTCCCACTAGGCTGCAACACTGTGAGAGCGGCAGGATCAGGAGATCCAGCCGCTTGACTGGTGGGCGGCTCTGCCGGCATCGCCAAAGGGATGGACGGAGATGAGCCTTCGACGGTATTCATGTTGTAGGGCGAGTTGTTTTCAGTGGCTACTTGGTTTCGAATGAAACAAAACAAAAAAACACATGCAAAAACAAAAAACCACTTGAAAATTGCGAAATAAAAAACTCTCTAAACTAGTCTACATTAGACATTAATGGACCCGGATCAGTAACAGAAGCATGGTAAAAAGCCTTACCAGAATGGTATGGCGACATGGACGGATCATATTTGGTGGGATCCATCAGTCTCGTTGTCTCGATCTTCATCTCATGCATAGTAATGGGCGCCAGCGGTGTTAACGAGCTCGAACCTAAATCATGCGAAAAAAGCCATGCTTTGTAGAACCAACCGGAAAATACCTTTGAACCGCCACCATCTGTTGAAGGGACTAACCACGTGGAAATGCTCAAGAACAATGCTTACCTAGTGATCCGGCCAGTGGCGGCGTGTAGAGGTTCTGGCCTGCTTGGCTCATGGTGTTGATGGTGTCGTAGATGTCCGCAGCCGAAGTGACCCCAGTCACGCCTGCAAAACCCCCATGGGGGTCATAATAGCCGCCCGTTTGACCTGTCGTAGTGCCAGCCCCGCCCAGTTCCGAAAGAAGTTTGTGCTCATCCTTTATCGACCATTTGCTCGATGGCCAAAGCTGAAAGTGGTTATGGCAAACATTACACTGATATAATTTTTTTGGCAACAAAAGTCTCCATAATAATTTTAAAGCGAATTTAAATTCAAATCAGATATTTTCCGCCAAAAACGCCGAATCCGTATCGTCGGTTGCCTATCCCGATTGTGACGTAGCAGGTCATATCAACAAAGTGTCTCGTGTTTATTTTGTTGTTTTCGCAGCTTTGTTTTATTATTTAAGTTATTGTGATTATCATTATTTAATTGATTATTATTACCTTGCATAATGGAAAATAGAGACATGTATGGACCACAAAAAAAGTGGTGTTTTATGCCAGGATGCAAGAATACCTCAATAAGTGCTCCAAACGAACTCTTTCTAACCGTTCTCCATGATTATGCACGTAAAGTTTTATGGTTCAAAGCAGCTAGACGTGATGTTCCTAAATCAAAATCAATGTTTTTTTGTTGCGAGGATCATTTTAATG